TGAGGAGTTTATCCTGCCAAGACTAACACTGGTGTGCTGCCAAACAGTTAAAGTAGCTTGTCTCAGCTGCTAGGGTTAGACTATAAGCACAAGTAGTGTGTATTTGGTAGAAATATTGAACCTGGACCGATTTTCAGTTATGCCCTAGACCTTTGAGATAGATGAGCAAAATCGAAAAGTTACACATAACCTCAGACTTGATTATGATGTTGCACTAGGTATTGGACTGGGCTATCTTTGATGTGCCAATCAATGAGATCCATCAAGCATCAACACCTAGGCATTGTGAGGCAATTTGGGAATTCACCTAAGTGGATGATCATAATGATAGGATCGGCTTCTTTGTCAGACAAAGTGAATATCAGGGTTTACACTCTCTCTGATGGGAACCTAAACTGACGATAGTGGATTTTAACTGTATTGAAATATGTTTTTGCAAAATGCGTTTATATGTTATATACTACTATTTTATGAAAAATGTTTGCAAAAGGTTTTAATCCAGGATCCATCTACGTAGAGAGTGTGGCACTACACCTTGTAACCAAGGGGGAGGTCCTTCCCTGTCGAGCAATGTTGTGATCATTATGGACCAATAGGTTAAATGTAAGAGACCATTACAGGGTTGATTACCTAATAGGCTTTATCTCACTTAAGTCTATTATTCTTAAGTCTTCATAGGGTGGTTGAATCCAAGAATCATTTAGGTGTAAATATTGGGCCCAAACTGAGCCCATGTTGATTGGCTTAAGGGTTCATTGTTCTAAATAGTGAATTTGGCCTAGCCTCTTACAGAGGTGGGGCCAGACCCTTATGGACTTGAGAGAAACCTTTGTGGGGTTCCACACCATACAATGTCAGGCCTAAAGTGGCCATACAACACCTAGGGTCGTGAGCCTTTGAAGAAAATGGGCCAAATGCCCAATATTAATAAGATTAATTAAGATGTCACATGACAACTTAAATTGACATGTGATTTGTGTCAAATTTAGGTTTGGTATTGGGTATAGAGCGCTCATTCTCTCAAGAGGATAATGTTTAATTGTTAAAAGAGTCCAAATCCAATTCAGATTTGGATAATCTCCTAATTAGGTTAGGAGAGTGCTTCATTAAGAGATAAAAGAAGAAGATGGTGAATTAGACTTGAACACCTCTCTTTCTTGTTCTCTCTATCTCTCTTGCCTCCCAAGAAACCATAGAATGACCTAGGCTTTTGTCTTTGTTTTTGCAAGAAAAACTCAGAAGAATTTTAGGCTTAATTACCCCATCGGATCCAAACAAGTTAAATAACATATTTGCTAAAATCAAGTGTTGTTGAATCGATTCTTTGTATCTTGCACCATCTTCAATTGGAGGCTAGTTTTAGGATTAATATTAGGCGTGTAACCTTGGAAGCTGCAATTTGTGGTCTCCGTATCAGGTATAATCTCATTTTTCTTTGGTTTCAAATCTGATCCGATTCAATGCAAGAATGGTTCTAAAATTTCAGATTTCAATTTACTGGGAAATTAGTTCCCAAGAAGGTTAGAAAAAGATTGAAATTTCAGCCAACCATCTTGTATGGTTTAACCATCCATCTGATGGATTCTAACACTAATAGTATATACAAAGAAGTCCATTACATTTAACCAAGGTTCAAAATATAGACATGATGTGTTAGCTGGTATTGGGTGCATCATATTAGTACTTGAAGGCATGGGCATGTCCGTGTTGTGTGAGTGAAATGGCACAATGCCATTGAGGACATATAAAAGCAGTCATGACCACCACTAAAAGTTATATAGTGGTCATAATTGTCACTATTTTTTTATCACTAATTAGATCAACAAATTGCTATTCAATTTTTATCTATTTTTTGTACTTTCTATAGGTTGTTCTGATAACTTGGACCACTGAAATATATCTAATTACACTAGTGGTCCAAACTTGTTAAATCTATGAGTCTATTAGTAAAGTTATTGTATGACACATATTTTAGATTCCACTATTGTTTGATTATAATGTATCTTTTCTTGGCTCAATGTGAGGCTATGGTCTTTGTAAACATAGTGTGTGGGTTCAAATCTTTACATAAACTATAATGTATCTCTTCATATAAATTGTTAACATGTGCATTTCTTATATGTTTATAAATTATCTATAATTGTTTCAACCTTACATTTAGTCTTATTGATGTATTTGTGATTTTGTAATAGTTTCTATATTGTGTCCAAACATATTCATATCCATATCCACATCCAAGCTTATCAATACAATATGTAATATTGATATTTTTAACAAGACTCCAAACATCGATATAGTTTGATACGATACGCTGGATGGGGCATATTGGACTTTTGAATAGAGTGCTCATATATATATATATATATATATATATATATATATATATATATANTGGGATTTTTCTTTAGGCTCAATTTGGAATTAAAGACTACAAATGCAAATATGTAGAGTACAAATACATACAAAATATAAGGTTTTGCATTCTATATATATATATATATATATATATATATATATTTTCTTTTTTTTTCCAAACATGTTCAAGGATGTTTAGTATAAGGCCTGATTATCCCTAGAAACTGGTCAAACTCCAAAACTCTTTGTATTTTGTGTATTAGTGACCCATTGATGAGATACATATTAGTCAATATGGGTTGATATTTTGCGATATTTTGATCATTGATTTTGAAATTTGCACTCCACATCCAAGCTTCATGATCCATTATATGATATTGACATCAATTTCCAAGCTTCTCTATCCAATATGTACTTGTACATTACAAAAAAATTAATTTTAAAAGTAAGTTTTTTAATGGATCCATGGGCATGATAGATGATCCCTAGAATCACATTATAATTTCTCCATATGATTGGATAATGGATATCATATAAAAATTTAAAATTTTTATGATTTTTTAATCTCACAAATTAAAAAAAAAATTCATAAATGACTTACAAAAGAGATTGGATTTTGTCCTCACAAAATTAATAATCATAATCACAGTGTCTTCAGTCCTCACAACACTTTGCAACTGTGCATTAGAACATCTTAGATACTTATATATTTTCATTCATGGGAAAATGTTCCCAATGTACAGATAAAAAGGTGGACAAAATCTGGAGTCTTTATAAAATAAAAAAACATTAAAATTTAAAGCTTATATTAGTAGATTTACGCATTTCAAGAAACAAAATATAATATGTAAATTTACCAAAATATATAATTTTGAACATTAAAATCACAAGGAAAATTTAAGTTTTTCTCAAATTGCACCTAAACCCACTTTGAGGAGACAAAAAGATTTTGATTGTTTTTATTGATTTTTTCTTTTAAATCTTACACAGTTATACCCCAGGTTGTTTAGATATTCGAGTGTGAAAGGTCTGGGTTAAAACACCCTTTTCAAAAATTTCACAATTGTGCTTCCATACGCATGCAATATATACACACGCATACAGCCATACTTTGTCTATACACACCGATCAGTTTTCCCTTTTGTCTTTACAAAAACTGATACATTTCATACTATATTATTGGTAGATAATATCAATCAACATTTTAAACCCGGCAGTCCTTTAGGCTGCATTTGGAAACAATGTAAATAAATGTAAATGCAAATAAGTGTAAAATTGGGTTAGTTTTGTACTGATAAATTTATCTTCTTATCAAACATACTTTTAGTTGTAATGGATGCAAATATGAATTCCAATAAAGTATATGTTTTTTTTTTTCAAAAAAGTACTGACAGGCATAATGCAGATTTCTGATTCCCACTGTAAAGCTATAAACATTTAGAAGGTCCAAAAACCACACTCTATGCACCCATACACGCCTGCGAATTGGCGTCAATTCCGAACCAGTACTTACCCTAAATGTACTTTGAGCCTACAAATTCTAACCCTAGGGTTATTGGTCATTCTCCTTTTTTTTTTTATCAAAAACCCACCTGAATGCAAATTTACTTATTTTTTATTGATGTACTTTTGGCTCAATTTGAAAGTTTGAAAACAGTACATCAAATATATACAACATAAATACATATAAAATAATACAAAATATAAGATTTTACATTCTACATATTTGCATTTATACTCCTTCCAAACTCAACCTTTATTATCAATGTAAATATGCATTAATCTTTCATTTGTCATTGCATTGCATAAATGTAATATTGCCAAACACACTAGAATGCAAATTTACTGGGATTTACACTCCATTAATCTATTTGCATAATTTCCAAACGCAGCAATGGTAGATACTGTATGGGGTGGAGTGAGACTTTGAGTCTTCAGACTTGACTTGAGAGAGAGACAGCATTCTTGAAAAAAAAAAAAAAAAACTCTGATTTGGGCACATTGATAAGGGCACGACTTAATGTAGTGCGGAAACGTGTATCCCAGGACAAAATCACCCTCGGTTGGAATCTAATTCATTGGATTTTGTCATTCTGATTTATCTGACCCACTCAGATCTTATGCAGATATTTGTAGTCTTGTAGACCATTAACTGGATAGGAATCAGGGAATGGAACGATTTTGTAAATGTACGGTCTGAGAGAGTCTGAGACTGATGAGAGAGCTCGATGGCCGATGGATGGATGGATAGATGGATGATGGGACTCCCTCCCTCCACCTCCAGGCTCCATTATCCATATTCCACAACTGACAACCCGACATGGGATAGATAATACTTAAGTATTGCATTTGCATGTAAATACATGGAACTTTTTGGAATGAAAAAAACAAAAGAAAAGAATGTAATGGAGCATAGCAAGCCACGCGGGTTGCACGATCACATCAGGTGGGATTTCAATTGCAGGATTATAACGTGGCATTTGTCTATTGGCCTAGTTGGCAATTTCCACGTGTTTTAGGCTTTTGTCACGTGGCCACCAAGTACCACTACTGCCACTCACTGTACCAAACCACGCTTAGTACCGGATAAAGCAACGTCTCTCTCTTTCTGTCTCTTTTTCTCTGCACTCATTTCATAACCCACCTTGACCTGGCCACCTCTCTCTGCCTCTTTCTCTGAAGTGTAAATTCATCCGTTCCAACTTCTCTCTCTCTCTTCTATATAAATCGTGCTATATGATTTTCTCGCACGTTATCTCATATCTCTCTCTGTGTTCGACTGTCCGTAGATGGAGAAGCCTATGTTATTCTGAATGAGTGAATAGTGATCTCTCTCATCACTTCATCAGTCGTCTATATGCTCCTTCTTCCTTACGTTGACAGTCAATATGTTGCATATGTCTGCATTTGCACCTGCACTGCACCCAAGTTTTCTCTGTGTGCTCATTTCTCTCTAAAAAACAGACCAGATAAAGAAAAGAACAAGCACCTGAAGGCGGTGTCGATGCAGGTGCAGGTCCAGACGAATGCCATCTTGCCTCTCTCTCTCTCTCTCTCTCTCAACATTTCATGAATCTTAAGGTGATAAGACTCTGCCTGAGTCTGTCTGTGTGTGGGGACCGGCCGGGAGAGAGGTAATGGGAGACCGTAAAAGCTCCATTTGTCTTTTAATATGAAGAGGAAATGCTTGTTTTCCCCATATTTTGGTGAACCTTTCTAACTAATTTATTTAGCTTTTATTCACAACTCTCAATGCTTTTCCTTTCTGCGAAAATTGAAATAACGAAGATGGGTTTCTTTTATTCTCAGATTGTGAGTTTGAGGCTACAGATTATGTACAACTTTGAGTCGTTTATGAATGTGGGCTGCTTGAAGCAGGATCTTCTCCTCACAAATGGGCGCCTCACAGGCACATCACCGTGCATTGGTAACATCTCTCGTGAATAATGACTAATAAATACGGGAGATGTTCCCAAGGATATGCGTGTGAAGCGCCTGTGAGGAGCAGATCCGGTCTCGCGCTGCTTACCCAAAAGGATGTGGCGAGGCTAAGGCTTCTCTCATCTCATCTCAGGTATGGCGAGACATGATCCAAGTCCGTGGGGTTGGACCGTGGGAGCATGTAGGGTTGTCACTCGACACAGGTAAATAATCCAGCCTACAGGTTGTCACTAGTATATATGTATATCTCTCCAAATCAATAGGCTCCACCTTTTTTCCTCTGGGCTCTAGCTATTTCTTTTCCACGGACTGAATATTATTCTCTGGTGTTTTCTCCATCTACGAGCTCTCTTGCCATCATTCTCTCCACCTTAAAGAAACCTGATTGTCTCCTTTACTTGTTGGTGCCTCACTGCCTGCTATTATCGGGTCTCATGTTGAACGCTGAATGGTCAAACTATCGCTTAGGATTTGGTAGTTGGCTGTTTGATGAAAACTAAAATGGATGACATTGCTTGAAAATATAGATGTAAATGGGGATTAGAACCCTTTATATATATATTTTTTTCTAATTAAATAAAAAGCATATGTATTTCAAAATTGTTACTACTTTTGTGAATATAGATGTGAAAATTAATTTAATAGCAAAATGTCTTTCTCTTTTCAATTATTCTGACATGATTATGGTTTCATGGGTATATATATAACCAGGTTCTTAATGCGTAATTTATGAAGGAGGGGTCATATCAAGTGAGGTGGGCTGGTTATAAGTTCATTCAGGTAAGCTTGCCAAGAAGTTTCATAAATTAAATCTAATCCTTCACAGTTGATATCTTTATATATACAGTAGTAGTAGTACTACTTAGTGTTTGAATAGTTGAAACCCCCAACTATTAAGCTTTTCAGTCACATTAAACATGATCCTAATACTCAAATACTGCAATCATGTGATATAGAGAAAGAAGCAAAACAAGAAACAGAAATTTGTTAAGAACTTTCCACCCTAATTGGGAAACTAGACATATACACCCAAGTTTTTGGTCTAGAAATGTTGTCTCGAACCCCCATTAACCCCCCTTCCCAACAGCCATTAATTACATTGTTTTAATCCTCAGGGAATTCAACATCACCAAGGACAAAACTCTGAGACACAACACAACACTCTTTGCTTCATTGCGTCCTTGATAGCCAAATACTTGTAGACGCAATTTGTATTGCACGACTACTTCTAAAATTATATAAATGGAAAAACTTAGCAAATTAACCATGAACAGTTGTTAGAATTTTAATTTAATTGACAAGAAATAGGTATTGATTAGTGTTATTTAGCTTAGAAAACTAAATATAAAGGTATGGTATCACAGTATCCAATGGGATTCCTGCAATACCAAAATTTGTGTCCTAGATTTTGAGAAATTAAACCAGAGCTGTATCCCCTCCCTTGTCTTGTCTCCATGTATAAATCTACATATCTGGGCATCTTAGGAATGTGTTGAAGACTCTTTAGAGGACGGAAGAAAAACTAATTATATTAACATGAGATAAAGTAATGAAAAAGAAATATGTGGCTAGGGGTGGATTCAAGCCAAGCCAAGCCGAATACTACCAGGCTCGAGTTCAGTTTGAGACTATTCTATAAGGCTCGAGCTCGAACTCGATTTTGAGAAAAAAATGTTTTTATTATATATATTATTTTCTATAATTTATATGTATATATATTAAATATCAAATATATATATATAGATATTCGAGCCAAGTTGCAAGCCTCATGAGCCGAGCTCTAGTAGGCTCGAGCTTGGCTCATTTAATAATCGAGCCAATGAATTGGGCTCAACCTCGATTGAAACCGAACCAAGCTCGAACAACTCGTGAAAAGCTCGACTCGTTGCCATCCCTACATGTGGCATTGTGGCCTTGAATATAATTTACAACATATATGAATTAGGTGGAATAGTATGGTGAAGTATAATTAATGTAGCATCCCCAAATTGTTGGAATAAGACTTAGCTAAATTGATTGTATTGCCCCAATTGTACTTTCAAAACAAAAATAAAATAAAATATAATTGATCATTATCTGATAAATCCAAGGGGACGTTTTTTATTCAAAAATTATAATTGAATCCTTTTATGGAAAAGAATCTTATGATTGTTGTTTGTTTAAATCTCATTATTTGATTCATTAATCTTAAGATTCATCTTATTCATGCAATTTGTTATAGCTCGATGACTCGATCAGGACCTCATAATTTTAACTTTTTCATTTTTTATATTTTGAAGGATCATTTATTTTAAAATCCATACTAGAGTAATTGAGTAAGTTATTTTATTCTATTTAAGACCCACTTAAAAATCTTTTTAATTTTATTTTCTGTCATGTGTACATTAATATTGAAATTAAACTTAACTATATCATATTACGGTTATAATGTACAAGTACCTATCAGGTCAATGTAGATTAAAACGGGGCTGAAGTCATTTTTCTACATATTTAATAAGTTTTTATCATATATGTTTCATTTTTCTTTCAATTCTTAAATTTTAGAAATAATCATATATTTGGATTTTATTTAATCCAACCTTACATTACAATAGGATCTCTCCCTCTCTCTCTCTCTCTAAGGTCATCCATTAATCCGTCCATGCCCCAGCTGTCAATGCCCACATGCAGCCTCTTTTATATGGTTCAATGGAATACATAAATAAAAGATATACTAGTAGAAAAAACGACCATGTCATCTTGTTATTTACATTGATGCCATCTATAAAATTCCAGTTTCACACTCAAGTTCATCATGCATTGGTTAAAAAACAGTTGTCTCAATTATTATCACATTTGTACCATCTATAAACTCTAAATTTACGAAAATTTATGTATGCACGCATTATATACACATACAAAATATATTCATTTAGGACAGCTAAGGAATATAGGCCAGAACTAGAGTTTTTTAGGTAAATTAGGTTAGGATTGCAAGTGAAGTGGCACATTTTTGCGTTGATGGCAAAATTGATTGAGATGTTCTGTAAGAGCAATTAACCTCGGTTCCTTTGGATTTTGTAGTTCTAGGTTTCTATTTTGGAAGCACAAATCTTTTATCGTTTATTTTTTTACCACCATCCAATAGGAACTTCATTCATCTCCATCTCGTAGCTTTGTAAACATTATGGAAAACATCTTTGAGATAATATCAATGGCAAGTTTATAGTTTTCCTTTTTATGTGGTAGGCTATGTTTCATTTGTAAATTTGAAGAAATTTCTTCCACAATAGTCACAAGACCAGCTACCAAGGCAAATTTACATGCATGTAATATGTCTCAAATGTAAAAAAAAAAGTAATAAAAAATATAAAATAAAATTCTAAATGGAGAAAACATGATTTTTTTAATAGTTACATAGATGATGCAAGGCAAAGGCCTCAAAGTTTTCAATAATTATATCATCACTGACCATACAAAGCAAGAAATATAAACATAAGAAAAGATGAGAAAATTTGATAACATCACAACAGCAAATATATATGATAACATAAATGTACTTAATGTAGGGAAAATTAGATATAGAAGTTGTTCAATAGTAGGGTTTTGGGAGTAGAGTAGGATTTAGATTGAAGAGAAAATTAGGTTAGAATTACTTCGGAGTTGAGACTGTTTAAGATGAATAGCAGGGATTGAGAATCATTCCACCAAGAAATACAGAAGCACCACCACCACCAGCAGCAGGAATTTCTCAAAGTCTCATCCATCATCATGAGATTTTAGTAACTAGCTGACATGGTGGTCTGCCACTGCTATTTGACTAAGAATAAATAAAAACTGCATTTCTATTTATTAGGACTGTTCACGGGTTGGTTCGGTTCAGTTACACCTGATTTTGTCAACCGAACCAAAAAAGTCAGGTTGAATTTGAGGCGAACCGAAACCAACCGATAAAGAGAGAAAACTGATTTTAAATTTCATTTTATTTAACATTGGTTTAATCGGCTTTAGTTAAACCAAACCGAAATTAATGCTTGTAGCCTATAACTGTACCTATATGCTCCCTACATTTCTGACAAGTTGCAATTGGTTAGTTGAGTGTTAGTCAGTCCCTATATAAGTCCAACCTATACCTATAGCTGTCTCTTTGGTTTTCACTCCTATGAATAGACTCAACTTTTTACTTTTTTTGTGTTAGTCCCTATATTTAGCTTTTGTTAGTTATATCATAGGTGGAGATGATTAGAAGGTAGTGGTTGTCAATCAAAAGTAAAGGAGATGAAAAATATATAAGATATATGAATTACAAAAGGCAAATATGTGTACGTATGCTTGGGCCGGTTTCACATCGGGTTACAAAAAGCATAACCGCAACCGAATCAGGACATCGGGTTTTGCCATTTTTTAAACTAAGACCGACCATCTCGGGTCAAGTTGGTCTGGTTTGGTTGGTTTACAACATCTTCTGAACAGCCCTACTATTTATTAAGTGAATTGAAAGATATGAACTTATCTAAAAACCACTCAAAGGGAATGTAACAGTAAAATTCAATGAACAAGTTTTCCTTGCTGAGCTCTTAACACAATATGGAATGACAAAATTACTTGTACTGTGAAAAATTAAAAGGAAAGTTAACTAAGAAAACAAGAAGGTAATAAACTAACAAACTATATAACTAATCTAGCCAACAGTAGTGCTAACTTCTATAGTGAAACTTGGGGCTGCTTGGGATCTCCATTAATAGTCCTTCCCAAGGTCTTTGCATATGGAACGCTATATCTTAAGCAGGATGTTTCTTTGATGAATATGTTTAGTGATGTTCTTTTTTTTTCTAGTTTTTTAAGAGGATGTTCAATATTTTTTTGGGTTTTTATCTTTTTAAAATTTTATTATTTAATTATGACATCAAGGGTTGACACATTTGACCCAAAAGATAGAATTGTTGATCTGCCACCAAACAGGATAATAATTTCATTTTTGGGTCGATTAAATTTGTATTTTATTTCCATCATCAATAAAAAATTATTGTTTTTCACATTTCTTTTTTATTTTATATAATTAATATAAAATATTAGAGATATGCCCAAATTTTTTCTATAATTTTCTAAATTTTTATTTTAAAAAAATTATTACTTAACTATCATGGGCTGACTCATTTAACTTAAATGGTTGAATTTCTTGCCCGCTACATGGACAAAAGAACTTTTTTGGGCTATTTTTAGAAACATAAGTTTTATATTATTAAGTGTATTGGATTTGGATCTAATTAGCGGCATTTATTTAATTTATTGAATGAGTTGAAAATTAGAAATTCAAATTACACTTTCTATCTCCACAATTAGAGAGGCACCAAATTCAAAAATAGGAGTATTTTAGTCAATAATAAAGTTCATGAAGATTATTCATATTTTTAATGGTACTGTAGGTTTTTCTATATTTTTTTGTATTTATTACTATTTTCAAATTTATTATTTAACTATGGTAGTATGGATTTATCCATTTGATCTAAATGGATTATATACCCACCACCTAGATGAAAAAACTTTTTTGGGCCAGTTAAAAAAAACACGAGTTTTATATACTGTTTAAGGTATTGAACATAGATCTTATTAGTAGAATTTATTGGTGAGTTAATACCTTAAATATATACTTAATAAGAGGGAATTGGATGTAGTGAAAAATAGTAATTCAGATTATATTTTCTACCCTCATATACCAAGAGAAGAACCAAATTCAAAAATAGGGTATTTTAGTCAAAAAGAAACTTTCACATGCTCGTTCATACTTTTTAACTTGCACC